CACACACACACACACACACACACACACACACACACACACACACACACACACACACACACACACACACAGTGTTAGGGAACGTGACCAGCCTGGCTTCAGGGTAGGCTCTATGTGGGAATCACTAGAGGAGCCAAGGCAGACCTTTCCCTGGCATTCCCTCAAGCTTCTCACTTTCCACGCTTTGGGCTGGCTTCTGTTATCTGGGCCAGGCAGAGTCAATGACCCCGAGATGTGGAGGAAGGAAGCAGGAGCCCTGGCAGCCCCCCACTGCCACCCACTACGTTTAGGGGCCAAGCCTGGCAATGTACGCCCCATCCCTATAGGCAGCTTTAGGCCAACGGCAACTGTCAAGTCTCTAGTGCCAGAGGCTGCAACCACAGATCAGAAAAGTGCCTTTCACCTTGAGGGTGGGGGAAGGAGAGAGGCTAAGAATCAACGCAGAATCTCCCCATTTGCCAATGACAGAAAAGCCCCTGATGCAATCCTTCTGGGTGGTGGTAGACAGCTCAGGCCGAGGACAGGTCATCCTGGCCTCCAGTAGAATGTGTTCTCCCGCCCAGCCTCATTCCCTCCCTGTCAGCTCCATCAGAGCTGAGCTCTCTAGACCTTCTGTTTGGGTGGTCCTTCCCACATCCCTCTCCCCCTTCCTCAGACACATTTAACTATTTAGAAAGCAGCGCACAAAGGCGTGGCTTATGTAGCTCCTTAGGAGTAAGGATGGCTATGGATAAAGAAAGTATACCCTTATGGCCGGCTCCGTGGCTTAGTGGTTAAGTGCGCGCGCTCCGCTGCTGGCGGCCCGGGTTCAGATCCTGGGCGCGCACCAACGCACCGCTTCTCCGGCCATGCTGAGGCCGCGTCCCCCATACAGCAACTAGAAGGATGTGCAGCTATGACTTACAACTATCTACTGGGGCTTTGGGGGAAAAATAAATAAATAAAATTAAAAAAAAAAAAAAAAAGAAAGTATATCCTCTGCACTTCTCTGGAAATAGAAACAGCTTCTAAAGTAGGCTGTGCTGGCCCCGAGATTGCTCTTGGGGCTCCAACTAAAGATAATTCTCCCCTCTCTCCACTGTGGATGGGAGTGGGATCTGAAGAGTAATGTGCTAAAGGACTGGGAAGAAGTTTGGCCTCTAGCCTTGGGAAAAGCTTAGAAGGCGATCTTGGCAGTAAGTCCCCTTACAGGCTCAGGGAGCTCTTGCCAGCAGGTAGAGATGAGGTGTTACTGGGGGAGGGAGTTCCTGGAGTAGTAGCCATCAAATTTTGTCTGACTTGGCAAGCTCCCAGAACCCTGTTTCTCAATACCTCCCCAGAGTCCTTGAAGGCCTCCTTCCTCCTTTCCTCCACTTCCCTCATGGAGCATCACTGGGAGAGGCAGGGTAGATCCAGTCAACTCTTTTGCCTATGTGGCTCTTGTTGCTTCTGTCCCATGGAGAGGTGGCTGGCCACTGGACATTCAGTTGCTCACTATATTTCAGACATACTCAAAACCTCTGTAGCTGCTGCCAAAAGGAAACAAAAACTGTCCCTGCCTTTTGGCAGAGAAATAGGGGTCTGAGAGAGGGGACAAAACCTGAGAATGGGAAGGGCCTCTATTTTTTATTATTTTTTATTTTTTGTGAGGAAGATCATCCCTGAGCTAACATCCATGCCAATCCTCCTCTTTTATTTTTTTTTGCTGAGGAAGACTGGCCCTGGGCTAACATCTGTGCCTATCTTCCTCCACTTTATATGGGACGCTGCCGCAGCATGGCCTGATAAGCAGTGCCTCGTGCGCGCCCGGGATCTGAACCCAGGCCGCCAGCAGCGGAGCACGGGCACTTTACCGCTATGCCACAGGGCTGGCCCCCAAGGGAAGGGCCTTTAAAAGTCACTCAGTCCAACATTCCCATTTTGCAGATGGGGAAACTCAGGGACAGAGGAGAGGCAGTAATTTGGCCAAAGCCAAACAACATTCCAGGGGATAGATCTTCTTCCATCCAGGCCAGACTGTCCCCAGCATCACCTGGGCCTCACAAATTTAATTTCAGTTCCAAAGGGGACCATCTTGGCCTCCACCACAGCTCTTTATCCCTACCTCCCCCTCAGTCCTATTGGTTTCAGCCACTTCTCCTGGGCCATTTCAGCTCCTGTCTGATTAGGGCAGACTTTCAGGAACCTTGTTCTGACCAGTGGGAGGAATGTTGAGCTCTAGAGTTCCCAAGAAGGCTGGTGGAGTTGGAGAGCCTCAGGGTAGGAATGCTCATCTAGTCTTTCACAAATTCAACAAGAAGAACACTAGGATCAGGCAAGATTACTCAGATGAACTTCAGAGCCTTCAGATTTTTTTTTTTTTTTGTG